CAAGCTTGCTCGGAAGCTTCATGCTCATTCTGTCCTGTATGCTTACAAACTTGCTAGCACCAGACGCGCTCTTGAGAAAAACTCTTTCAACTTTCAACAAGGTCAGGCACGGGCTACTGCCAGTAACCCACCTGATCCCCACTGACTTCTTGCTTCTGCTTTCTCTTGGTGAAGCGGATACACGGTGCCTCGGCCCTAGGTATCCTCTTTTCCTTAATTGATGTGGGGAGTGTTTTCACTGCCTGCGTAGTTTTTCTTTTCTTTTCTTTCCCACTCCTCTCAAAATTGGCGATGTTCTGGAAACACTGGAGAATTGCACAAAAAAAAAGAAAGAAAAGTCTACGCAAGGCTTAGGCCGCGTGCATTAAGGGGAGAATTCCTAACAAAAGTTAGAGGCCTCACCAGGGGGCCCTCTACCTAAACTAGACAAAACTAGCCTAGGAGGAAGCAAGAGACAAAACTAATGGGGATCCTGAGGATTGCTTTCCATGCCCCTGAGCGCTCGGACTCCCCTTCTTCCATCCTCAGCCGCCTCCGCGCACCCAGCAACCCCCCTCCCGGAAAATTGCACACCCTCAAGCAATTCAAACAACTAGGACTGGATCACCATCGTGCCACTAAGCTTGCTCAACAACCTCATGCTCATTCTATACATTATGCCCATAAATTAGTCTCCACACACCACGCTATTGTAAACAGAAATACTTCCTACACCTAGGGTCTAGAGCCAGGTGCTTCCAGTAAACCTCCAGATCCCCATTAGCTTTCACTTTTTTCATACTTTGTGGTGGAGGGAACTCACGGCTCTTTTGGAGTCAATGTGTCTCTCTTCCTCAATTGATGTAGGGTGAGTTTCTCTGCCTTTGTAGTTTTTCTGTTTCTTTTTCTTCTTTAGAAAATAAGCTCCATACTCTCAACACAGAGGCAACTAAGCACCTGAGAAATTCCTTCATTGGCAAAAGCACCAGTCGTGCTTTTGCCGTCAAGGAAATCAGGAACTCCTGGTATGTTTAGAACTAATGCTCCCCAGCATCATCACGTATGATGTTTGTTTGTTTATTTGTTTACACATGTCCATCATCGGGAGATTGCGATCTCCATAGGACTGGGGCAGTGACCATGAAATCACACAGACTAAAAAAAATCAGGTTTCATCCCGCTTGAGAGACAACAGGATAAGCAAGGCCAGGCTTGGCATAAGGAACCAACGCTGAGCTCAGAAGAAGAGCTTAGAGTTGAGAGAACGTCTGCTAGAGTTTAGGTTGACCCAGGCTAATGACAAGCTGGGGACTTCTGAGCGATTCACACAGGCAAAAGCCCCAATGCAAAGGCCCACAGGGGGCAGCAGTAAGGCAGCGAAACAATTGCCTAAAGGAAAGAGATACTGAGGCACAGGCACCAGAAAATTGCCACTCACCCGCAGAACTCGCGCTACCGAACCCCCACCCGACTAGCTGGAGCTTATCTCCTTGAAGAGGCCTACAGTCTCCAGGCAAGGGCCGAAGGATGGAACCAGGGGGACTTCCCTCACAGCACTGGCAACAACAGCAAAAGTAATGCTGCGGGACCCGTCCCCTTGATGGGAGAGCACTCAACATAAGACTAGAGACTGCTTAAACCTAACTCCGGGAGCCCAAAAGTAAGAGGGGAGGACGCACACAAGCCCACGGGGAAGGACTACCAAGGCCTAAAAAGGAGAGGATTGCTCAGCCTACAAGGAAGACACGGCTAAAGAGAACAGCACAAGGGCTGCAGGCATGATAAAACGTACAGAAGCGGGGTGATATGGCCCACCATGGAGCTCTTGGTCCTAAAGCTCATCACGTCCCGAGATGGCTACCCTTGCCCACGACCATACACGGAAACTTAAGAAAAGGCATTCTGTCTGCTACATGCCAACATGGCCATGGGCACATACATTCTGTCCGGTAACTCTGTTTTCTCTCACGTATGGCTGCTAGAGCATACCCTCACCCTGCGCAATCTTGCCCACATTTCCCTGCGCCACTTCTACACACGAGGCATCGGGAAGTTTGACATTACATTTGTCAACCACTACCTGCATTATCTACCCTGCAAATCATCATTTTTACCTCCACTGCACCCCGCCCTGGCCGGCCTGCAACGAGGTCAAATTAACAGATGCCTCGTGGAGCATCTATCGAGAGACTCTGCGTGCGCATCAGCAATCATACTTAACACCATCATGGTGGCCAGCTCCATGCAAAGGTAACGCATTACCTCATGCCCATGAGTACTTGGTGACTCCTAGACTCTCAGAGTTCCCATCCTATCCACCTTACAACAGAGGGAAGCTGGCAACAACTTAGTGGCAATATTCCCACCATCCAGTCAGGCTCCTTTTGGAGCCATTTGGCTCCCACAACTGATCTTCATCTTGCCGACCCACATATCCCTTTCTTGCGTGAGACCACTGCAAGCCATAGCGTACAAAAGAGAACCCTTTGTTCAAACAAGTAAGGTGTGATCCTGCGGATCACAAAAAAATGGGGCGGAGCCTGTGCTTCCCTTACACCTGAATACGGTTTACACCTCAACCTTTGCCCCCGCTCCTCTCCTGCTCGCGTCTTCAAAGCATCGGAGTAAATCACCGCCATGCAGGTCACTCCCGTGGGCAAGTGGAGGAGATGTACCTTAACCTTGTATTGATTGAAATGAGAAATGCAGGGGGGGCTGCGCTCCTCTCTACTACCCCCCCGCTCCTCTCTACTCCTCACGTCTTCAAAGCTGGGAGCAAATCACCGCCATGCAGGTCACTCCCGTAGGCAAGTGGAGGGGATGTATTTTAACCTTGTATTGATTGAAATGAGAAATGCAGGGGGGGCGCAGCCCCCCCTGCACCCCCCCGCTCCTCTCTCCTGCTCACGTCTTCAAAGCTTGGGAGCAAATCACCGCCATGCAGGTCACTCCCGTGGGCAAGTGGAGGAGATGTACCTGCTTGGAGCCTGTTGCCATCGGTCGGCCTTCTACCACATTCCGCCACATTTGCACCGCCCAAAATCACCAGCAATAACCAAAACATCATTTTGAACTTAATTTAATAGTGAATTTGGAATTGGATTTGTCTGAGGGGTGATTTACTTCCGCGGGCTTGCACTGGCTGGGGGGTTGACCCGGAACATCCGGCATCAGGGGGAAATTAGCTTCTATTTCATACAATTTTTACACTCTGGGGTGGCCTGGGTGGCTCAAAGCTCTATTCTTTCAGTCAAACCTTACATGAACTATAAGGGACTTCGCCCAGGGGGGCTCCGCCCCAAAAAACTCTCTAACTCTCTGCAGAGTGTGGGATTGCTGGTCCAGGAGTAGGGCATGATAGAGGCTGATGCTGAGGCTACATGAAGAAAGCGAGCGTAGCTCAGTACTGCACGTACAACAGAGAAGCCTTGGTTAAAAAAAGAAAAGGTCAATACTGCATGTACAAGAGAGAACCCTTCCTGCAAGGAAACCCCCTCTTGAAAAAAAGGACTTTTGACCATGACTTCCCCCTCTCGAAAATGAAGATTTGCATGCGCTCACTCTGCACGTATAATCTCTCGGAAAGAAAGAATTGTATGCGCTCACACTGGGGGTGCTAGAGAGAAACCTCCTGCAAGGGGTAGGGTCCAAAAGAGCAGAAACATGCAAGGTGTGGGATTCGAACCCACGACCCATGCGGGACTGCAATGCTCCCGCTCGTTCATCGGGAAGTTCTCAACTTGAGTGCAGCGCCTTAACCACTCGGCCAACCTTGCAATCGATGAGGACGAAAGTTTCTGGCACAATATAAACATTTAACTTAATTTTGTAACTAACTCTAACTAACTTTCAAAACTGCTTGAAAGCGTGTCTTTCGCCTATAGTTAATTGCTTTGGCTCTTGTCATGCAATATTCACCTGCAGAAGGACCACCCAGCAAAAGCACAGCTCAGCAATGAGATCCCCTGCTTCCATGTCTTAATTCAGGCTAGCCCAAATGAAAGAAAAAGAAAAGAAAAAGAAAAAACTACGGAGGTAGAGAAACTCTCCCTACATCAATTGAGGACAATTGGGGGAAGCGTCGCAAGTGACGCTGAAAAATTGGCGAAGCTAGTCTCCCACTGAATGAAGCTTTCGGTCACTGTGCCCCTAAGATTGCAAGAGCCACAATGCCCATGACAGCACTTGAGCATGCCATGAAGCACGAGCAAAGCCCTGTCTTTCAACATATGAGAGGGTAGAATCTGCTGTGGGTGTTGAGAAGTTAGGCTCGCTCTGTTGTGCTTCGAACACAAGCAAACACTCTTTAAATTTAGGCCATGTCTCCTGTAAATCCTCTGATTCCCAGGAGGGCTTCCAAATGACCCTCCTGAGTTCTTGTTTAGCCTGCCGCTCTCTTTCAATTTTTTGGGCATCATTTAGGCTTGCACAGGCGGGACATGCCCATGTGTCATCTGTTGCAATTTCTTGTCTTTGCTCGTCCGAGTAGCATCTAAGTTCCTTGACGCATTCCCAATGGTATGTCCGGTGGCACATATCACGAACATACATATCAGGAAAGGTTTCTGTTTCATAACTATGGTGGGAACAAGATGTGCGGGACAAGATGTGTGCTTGGGCGTAGCAAACCTCGAGGAGATTGCTGTGGTGGACAGCACTTTTCAAGACCCCACAGGTAGCCACTCTGCCAGGGGAAGGGGCAGGGGGAATGGGGCAGGGGCTCAGGCAAAGTAAAGTAAAGTCTACGCTGGTACTTACGAGCGTGCATTAAGGAAAGACCCAACAGTTAGCACTGGCACTAACAGTGAGCCCCACCAAAGAAGGCTAGCTATGAGCAACCCAGCTAATGAGGGTCCAGCGGGTCGTCGGCCATCCGTCCGGCTGCGCGTCTTGCTGTCCTGTGCGCAGCCCTCCCTGTAGCCCCCTCCCCCAAACGCCCATTGCTTACGTTACTGAATTGGATGGCATTTTTGGTGTTGTGAATTTTGGTTAGGGACTTTACAGCGTGATAGTGGAGTTCTCTGGCAGTTTTGTGTGCTTTGTCTTTGGTTAGGCCAAGTTTGCAGAGGGGATCAGTAGTGTAGGGATTGAAGATAGTTCCTGCAACTCCAATTAGTATGGTATGTAGTGTGACTCTATTATTGCGGTGTGTGCCCCGAAGAGATCTTGTGCGTAAGCTTTCAATGGTGTGTTTGTGCTGATTTTGCGCAGTGTGGAGAGTTTGTTCGGGTTTGGTGTCAGAACAAAATTTGAGCTCAATGAGGTGGATAT